CACAATGCAGAGAAGAATGAGACAGTCTGTCTTTTCTCTCTGGCTTCTGGCTCACAGCTTATGGGAAAGGAAAACTGAATGCTGGGGATTCTAGAGGGACTTAGAGAGAAATGCAGTAGCAGAACAAACCCGCAGTTGCCACCATCTGCTAAGACAGTGCAGGACTCTGCTCCCATGGGAGTCCTTTGACAGATAACAGCTGGTGAGTGACTCCAGTCCAAACACCTGCCATATCCCTGGAGGAAGTGCTCAATCAGATGCCATTCCAGGGAAAGGTTGATTGTTTTAACCCAAGACTCAGAGCAGCTTCAGGACAGCTTTACTTCAGGGCTCCCAGTGTTACATTCCCACCGTGACTGTGAGAGATAGGAGACAGCTGCAGTTAGAGAGTGGGCTTGAAAGAGACCCTCCTAGGTGTTTGAGTTAAAGGGCAGGCCTCACTCCCTTCACCAGAGGGCAGGCTCTGCCTAAGTTGCTCAGATTTGAAAGTTACAACACTGCTGTTCAATAAATGGTCAACAGATACAATATGTGGCCAATAAATACATAAAAAATGTTTGCTATCACTAGCTATTTGAGAAATGAAAATTAAAACAACACTAAGAATTCATCTTGGGGCTGGGGATTTAGCTCAGCGGCAAAAGCGCCTGCCTGGCAAGCGCAAGGTCGTGAGTTCGGTTCCTGGTACCGGAGAAAAACCAAAAAAAAAAAAAAAGAATTCATCTCACTCCAGAAAGAATGACTATCTCAAGAAATCAAATAACAAATTCTGGAGAGGGTGTGGGGGAGAAAGGAAGCCTTCGTCACTGTTGGTGGGAGTGTAAATTAGTACATCCATTGTGGAAACCGGTATGGTGATTTCTCAAAAAACTAAAACTAGAAATTCCATTCAACCCAGCTATTCCCCTTCTAGGTATGTTCCCCAAAGAGTTAAAGACATCATATTACAGATCTGCATACTCAGATACATGTATACATCCATGTTTAAAGATAAATCTTGGAAGTGCCTGTATGTCCATCAACAGATGAATGGATAAAATAAATGTGGAATTCGTATGCAACGGAGAGCTACTGTGCCATAAAGAAGGATCAACTTGAGTCATTTGTAGGAAAATGGATTCATCTTGTGACCATAATATTAAGTGAAATAAATCAGATACACAAGCGTAAGCATCATATGGGTTCTCTTACCCAAAATATAAATAAAGTACAAGATAATAGAAAATAGGAAATAGCAAGATATATCTTTAGCATATGGGAAGGGAACAAAGAGATGGGAGGGAAATGGGATAAAAAATGGAACTGTGATGTGTTGAGTACATGTACCAAGGAACATAATCATTATGTACTACAAACATGTTTCATATAATATATGAATGATGAGGTCCAAGAGATGTGGGCAGGGAAAGGAAAGGGAGGAAATGGGGATGAAAAAGAATTAAGATATGTCATGTACATGTACCAATTCCACATGGTGAATATAATCATTATGTACTACAAACACGTATCAATAAAAATAAAAATAAAATGACTATGGGTAGAAAAAGTGTGATACTAAGGCAAAACTGTATGCATACACCAATGGAAGAAAAATGATTTGAGTATAAATGAGAATTTAACATGTGGTAAGTCAGCTGTCTTTTGAGACAGGGATTCACTATGCAGTTCAGGTTGACCCTGAACTCACTTTGTTGCCCAGGCTGGCCTCAAACTCAGCCTGGTAGTGATCCTCCTACCTCAGCCTCCTGGGTGCTGGGATTACAGATGTGTGACACCACGCCCGACAGTCAGCTTTTAAAATTAGTTGGACAGGGGGCTGGGGATATAGTTCAGTGGTAGAGCTCTTGCCTTGCAAGCACAAGGCCCTGGGTTTGATCCTCAGCATTCCCACAAAAATAAATAAATAAATAAATAAAATTAGTTGGAGAGTTAATGCAGTAATGGACTGCTAGATTGCTGAGATTTGGCTATGTATTTAAAATATATGCTTGGGAGACTATGTATGCAACCTATATCACAGAAAAACAACTGATATACAAAAATGTACAAGGAACTACAAATCAGTAAAAAAAATACACCTAGACAGAAAAATACTCAAAGAATATGAATAATTAATTCTCTCATACTAAGTGGATATGATGGTGAAGATAATTAATACTTAGGAAAATGTAAATAAAAAGGCAATATAATATATTTTTGCATTTTCTATTGGCACTAATTATCAATATACAGCGTGGAGGTATGTATGAGGAATAGGCCCTGTCGTATGGTTGATGAGAATGTAAACTGGCTCAGTCTTTTTGGAAGGCAGTTTATTGGTATATCCATTAACTACATTAGCTATATAAAATCTCATAACAATATAAACTCTTATTAACTATATAAAGTCTTTCTTTTGACAGCATCAAATAAGTAAAATCTCATCTTTTAACCAAACAAATCTATTTATAACAGGATGTCCTGCAAAAGTTCTTCCACTTGTGGACAAAGCTGTATGTACCAACTTGTCCACTGTAGCCTTCTTTTTATTGGCTTCATATGTAGAAAAATTTTATGTTCATTAATGGGGGTAGGTATTTAAATTTATAATAGCATAACTCAACCATTAAATACCCCACAGCAATTTAAATGTATTGGCATGTTGAGCTCAGTGTGGGATAATTTTAGGTGGGTAAAAACAAGTTTCAAAATAATATCTTAAGTATGATTTCACCCATAAACTTTAATAAGAATCAGAATGTCTGATTCTTTAATAAGAATCAGAATGTCTATAGTGTGGGAGTGTTCATTTCCCTAAAAGTCAATCAACAGTATTATTAAATTCCTAAATATTGATAAATTCATAGCTGAAAAATAATAAGGCATAATTGTTTTAATTTGCATTTCTTTGAAGTTGAATATCTTTTCATAAGTTCACTGGTCATTTGTATTCTCTGTGGAATCTGTTCATATCTTGGACACACTTTTCTACTGGGTTATCAGTTTACCGATGATTTTTAAAGGGTTTTGAAACTACAAATAAGCCCGTTGACATCTAATGCTTATGCTTTCTTTTTAAAAGCATTACCAAAGTTTTAAAATTTTATGTAGTCAATGTATCAATTTATTAATCTTTTCCTGTGGTAGAAAAAAATAAATACAAATGCTGAAAAGCCGCGAGTAAGGACATATGGTGTTAAAGGCTTTCTGGCTCCCTTCCAGAGAGGGCCTCCTCCACAAGGGGCTCTGGCAGGGAGCATCTCCAGCCTGCCTTCTGTGCTATAGTACAAACATTTTAAAAAACAGGCTGCCTGGATGGTCTATGTTTAGAGTGTGACTCCCCTGCGGGGACAGGTGCGTTTCTGGGGACTACTTCTGCAAAATGACCCTCGGTTCTGCGATTATTCTGAGGAGTTTGTGGGGGCGGTGCAGGGAAGATGTACCGGAAGACAGGGAGTGGAAAAACTTCTTTCTCTCGGTGATTATTTCTTTTTTTATTGCTTGTTTCTTGTCCTCCTACTTATGAGGAGGAAATGACATGGACATCAAGGGTGTTGCAGCAATTCACATTCATTCACAGACCCTCATCATTATTACCATCGGGAAATGTGAGCTATGGTGACAAATAGCATATGAATGGCAGATACTAGAGAGATCTTACAAGAGCCATGATATAATAAAAATTCCACCTGTTAAACCTCCTCTCCTTTTAAAAATTATTATCAATCCATGCTTGCAGTACACAATGATTGCATTCATCGTGGGGAGTTGGCACATGTACATAATACATCTTAATTCTCTTTTCATTCCCATTCCCTGTCCTCCCTTCTACCTCCCTCCATCTCTTGGTCTTGCTCCCTTTTGTAAAAGGTCTCTCTCCCCGGTTCCTATTATCTATCTTTTATTTTGTTCTTTACTTATAGTTTAGGTTTCTCATATAAGAGAAACCACATAATATTTAAACTTTGTGTGTCTGATTGATTTCACTTAAAATTATGGCTTCAAGGTGCATTCATTTCCCTCCAAATGACTCAAGATTATCCTTCTTTATAGGACGGTAGTACTCCAATCCTTTCCACTCATGTGATAGCAGTTGGTCCTTTTATGTATGTGGTGAGACTGATTTGATTGCATGCTCATGCAAAATCCAAATGAAGGCCCCTGATTAGAAAGTGGGTGAATATGTGAAATGAGTAGTCTGTAAGGCGGCGACTGGGTTCATCAGAAGCTGGGTCTTCTTTAAATCATCCCGAAGTCATCACTGAAGTCCAAAGCCACCTGACAAGGTACTGTAAGTTCAGCCAGAACTTGAAAAGGTTACAAATTATTTTTGTAAAACTGCCAAGATTAGAAACCTGAATGTCCTTCTGAAGATTCATTTACAAATCACACTGAAAAATACGCCGGTTTTGCTTAGGAAAATTTTGTATTAATATGTCTGTTTTGAAAGCTGTGAAATAGTCTACAGCAACTAGAAAACATTTTTAGATAGCACAAAATAATGTAAACAAATGAGTCTTTTGTTATTTTTACAACCTGAATTTTTTTTTATGTCAAAAGAAAATGACTTTACTGAATTTTCCCATTACCAAAACAAAACAACAAAAAAGTGATGTTAAGAAAAAAAATTTTAAAAGGAACACATAAAAGAAAGTTTAAAGTTCTACTTGCTTTCTCTGCTTTCCTTCCAGGCACTTCCTTTCCCAGCCAATTTGGTGTTGGCGCCATACTAAAGGAGGGCAGGTTGTAAGGGGTGAATAGGGAGCATTGCTTTTGAAGTCTAAGAGGAAAAGAAAGGATTCCTCAAAGATGCCGGGAAGACTACAGCCAAGGCCGGGGAGTGGGTGGGGGATACAGGCCCTCCCTGGTAACCAGAGACCAGTAAACTCCAACCGCAAGGCGGTGATGCCACTTGTGGGCTCTCAGATTGGAGAAGACTGCGATGAGTGACAGGGTGGTGCTCAGTGGGGCACCGCGTACAGATTGGGGAAAGGGGGGGTCTTGTGCGTACGGACGAGGAGGGGGCGTCCTGTTGACAGCCTGCCGGTCGGTGGGGGGTTGTGGGGAGGAGGGCTAACGATGACGCGCGGGCCTCACGTGACCCCGAGCTGCAGAGCGACGCAGCCTTCGGTGCAGTCGTCACTCTAGTCTAGCTACCAGCTCACCGCTGCCCTGCGCACGGCGGGCTGGCATTGGGCCTGGGAACGCGGAGCAGGTAATGGCCCCAGGGCCCGCGAGACGCGGCCAGGCAGCAGCAGCTTGCTGACCCTGCGGTAGTATGGGGACCGGACGTTAGGGGATAGTCTATGCTAGCTAAAGTTCAAGGAGCCTTGGCCTCTTATTCTGAATCGCCGGTTCCCAGCTAAATCTGTGCAGTGGAATCCTAGGCTTTGACAGGGCGACTGGAGGCGATACTGTGTCAATAGGGAAACACAGATTGAGACGTCCGTCCTCTGTAACTCTAATCACTGGCCGCACATGTCCGCTAGCTTCCTGCTCATTTGAGAGAAAGGGACTCGCCACGGTGGCGTTTGCAGAGAAAATGGTGGGCCACAGTGACTGGACGGCGGGGTTGGTAGGGGTTCTGTCTCACAGGGAGGGGAAAGACATTTGACAATCGGGTCCCTGAATCTGTGAAAGTGAGTATTGGAATCTGTGGTCTGGGTGTCGGTATAAGAACTCAGTACCTTTACTCTCTCCTGTTTTTTTGGACAATAGTTTGGTGTAGCACTGAGATGAGGCCAGAAGAAGAAGAGAAAACTGCACAGGATCCATGAAGGTGAGTTGAGCATGGACACCGAGTCGTTGAAGTTCTGTATGAATTCAGGCACTGATATCTGATTGTAACATGGAGTGGGGCTAGCAAGGGAACTTTCCCTAAACTATGTTTCCTTACCGAGCTTCAGAATTTAAACTTAAATTGTATCTTGAAAATCAACAAAGACAAAACTTTTGTACGGATCATTTTATTTGTACTTCAGATAATACTGAGAAAATACAAATTATATCAAAGAATATTACCTTTTTCTGAGATAACCTTTAAGCAGAAAGGTAATGATTTTGTAGTAGCAAAAGTCCTGTCCTCTACCATGTCTCTTCTAGAGACTCCTACAAATGGGTTTTAGGGAAAGCAGATGGCTGTAGGCTATGACTCAAGAGTCATGGCATCTGGGGGCTTCCGTTTCTTCTGTTGTCTTCCAGTTATTGAGATACTCCCACTTACCTAACCATTGTTGTGAAGAAAGTGGTGGGCTTTTGGAGGAAATTCTTAGGACTCCACAGGTGGTTTTAAAATAATTTGCCTCCTTTTACTTTATTTTAGAATAAACAATAAACCTTTATTTTACTTTAAAATAATTTGCCTCCTTTTACTTTACTTTACCTTTCTGCTTTTTCTACCCTGCCCATTTTGGTACAAGAGAAGCCCTAGATTCTGTCAGCTAGAAATGGGTCTCTAAATCCAGAAAGGCATGTGTGAGGACTCGTGTGTTAGATGTCAGGATATCGCAGCTGCTCAACATTCATCCTCCCCCTTTTTTGTGTGTGTTCCTAGATTTTCTTGTGGTCTTTCAGAAGAACTGTTTACCACTGGAAACAAGGGAAAGAGAGGGAGACTGGCCTAGAACAGTGGAAGTTGTGAAGGTGGGCAGTACCTGGGGGTGACAAGAGAGGGTGGGCTAAGCACATGCTTGAGACTTGAGCAGGTCTCAGTGCAGGGCGCTTCTGCTGCTTCTACAGTCTTCCAGGTTTCAACAATACTGACAAAGTCCCTATCGATTACAGTGCAGCAAACAGTAGGAATATTAGGATGACTAGGGTATGATGGAAGATTTAAGGAGGGCATCACAGGATGAGACACATTAGTACACTGAACCTGGAACCTAGAAAGGCAGACATCAGGACAGGAATTAGAGTGCTTGTTTATTCTACCCAGGACTCAGTTTTCCTAAAATCCTACTTGTCTACTTGTCCATAGACCTGCCTGCTTGTGTGCAGCAGAACTCAAGATCACTGGAAGCAAAGAAACAAAGAGAAAAGTGCCTCTGATCAGTATAGACTGGTAAGATGGTGAGGACTTCCTGGGTAAAGCTCTAGGGTCGGGTAGTGGAACAGTGTGCATCCTTTTTTTTTTTTAAACTTATGTGTGCTGCTGAAGCAAGCCTAGCAGTGTGTATCCAATAAAGGCCAGAGTCCAGTCTGGAGCATGTTCAGCCTCACACTTTACAGACACTTTTCCCATCATCTCTGTCACTTATCTCAAACATTTCCCTTATTTCTGGTGCAGGGAAAAGAGTGTGACAGTACCTGGTGTACTGGAGTGAACTGAGGGAGTAAAAAGATAGTTTGTTAATAGTATATCTGTCTTATTAAGAACAAACTCTGCTCTTATCTGTCCCTCCCTTTGTCTATCTGTCTCTAGGTTCAATGATCTCATGAATTTACATAAGGTATATCACCAAGCAAGAGAAGAAAAGAGGAGAGAACTTGCTTGAATCACTTCAGGTTGGTATGAGGGTTGAGACCTATAGGAGTAATGGTGATCAGAGCAGGTCCAGCAAAGATCGGTGTCTGAGGGCTTCTTGATTTCTCCTGTCAACACCAGCCTTCCCGCCATCCTTACTGCTGTTCACTTGGTGTATGAAAGTACCTTGGGGGAAAATTTGGGGGCCTTGGGGAAGGTGGAGAGAGGATGAAATAAGGGGTAGAAAGCTCACCAATCGTTCTCTTCTCCCATGAAGCACCTTTGCTACCTTTTCCTGTTTCTGTTTATCTATCTGTATGTTACAGCAGGTTTAGAAGAGAAATTTTTGTTCATTTCCTTCTTCCACTTCTAGGTCCACTTCCAGTGGCAGCTGTCCTGGCCTTTGTGTGGCTGAAGACCAGCGCGCTCATAGATCTACACTCAAGCCTATCACCTTCTTTCCCCAGCCCAAGTGAGCCCCCTGTACTTTGTTTGTACCTTCTGCAGGGGTGATTACATGGGCCGTGTTCAGGAAGTGGGCTGGGCGACTGCAGGACTGGCGATCTGGGCTGGCACATGCTACTACCTTTACAGATTAACCAAAGGAAGAGCTCAGAGTGTGACGAGACTTGCCAGAAATGGGTCCAGAGTCAACATGGAGACTGTGGTTGGGGTACAAAACCAGACCTTGGCGATGAGTGAAGCCATGGCTGGGGTGGAGATTGAGACTAGACCCAAGGACAAGACTGAAGCAAAAACTGAAGGAAATGAGCCTGGGGCTGAAGAAGAGACCAAGGTTACTACTATAGAGGGGTCCAAAGCCAACTCTCAGTCCAAGGCAATGGTTGGGGCAAAGACAGAGGCTCAATCTGAGGCCGAATCAGTGGCTAGAACACTGGTCATGGTAGATGCAGTGACTCTGACTGAGGCCAAGGTCAAAGCTAGGGAAGTGGCCACGAAAGAGGCAATGACTCAAACTGATGCTGAGGCTGGGGAAATAGTAAAGAAAGAGGCAGTGACCCAGACCAAGGCTAAAGCTTGGGCACTGATCTCCAAGACAGAGGCCAGAAAAGAAGCAATGACCCAGACCAAAGCTGAAACTCGGACATTGGCTGAAAAAGAGACTGAGATTAACAGAGTAATGGTAACACAGAGTGAGGTTTTGGCAGTGACCAAAGAAGTGGTCAAGATTGGAACCATGAACAAGACTGGAATTGTGGTTGAAAGCAAGACAAGAGCCCTGGAAGAGACAGTGAGTGTGGTTACAACTCAGTCTGATGGTAGGCTTGGTACCACAGTTGATGCTAGGAAAAATCATAACGGCATGTCCAGGGCAGTGGCTGTCATGGATGTTAAGTCCTGTGCAGAGTCCCAGGCTGTGGCCAAGATGCAAGATGACGACATGCCTGCTGCTGAGGTTGAGGACAAGGGGAATCTCAAAACCATGCCTAAGGCAGGTTCTAAGGTTGATACAAGGGCTTTTCCTCAACCTCAAATTGTTGTCAAGACCCAGGCTGAGGCCATGCCTGGGACAAAGGTTGATATGGAGGCTAATATCACCACCATATGTAAGGCAGAGCTGGGGACAAATGTGAGAGCTTGTATAATCCAGCCTCAGACTGTGGCCAAGAAACAGGCTGAGGCAATGTCTGGTGCCAGGGTTGATGGGAGGGAAAATACCACTGCTGTATCTAAGGCAATGACCGGAGCTGTTGTACAGGCTGCTTCTCAGATTCAAGCTGTAGCCTGTGCTCAGCCTGAGTCTATGCCTGATGCCAGGGTTAAGGGCAGAAGCAATCCCAATGGCATGGTTAAAGCAGGCGCCATGACAAACATCAGGACAAATTTGCAAGATGAAGCCTTGCCTGATAATAGCCATAAGACCAGAAGCATTCCCAGTGTCACGATTAAGGCAGGAGCTGGGATGGACATGTTGTCCAGTACCCAGGCTCAGCCTGTGGCCAATGTCCAGAGTGATGCCTTACCCGATGGTAGAATCAAGACTAAGGGCACTGTTAACGCCGTGATTAAGGAGGGAGCCCAGGCTACAGCTCAGAACCAGGGCGAAGCCTTACTTACTACTAAAGGTAAAGCTAGGGGCAAAGCCAAAGCCAAGTGTAAGGGAGGGGTTGGGCCAGACCTGAAAACCTGTTCACAATCGCAAGCTGGGACCAAGACACAAGCTGAGGTCTTACCTGATTCCAGGGTTGATGGTAGGGGTGATTCTAACGCCATTTCTAAAGCAGGGCCTAATAGGACTGGTGCTCAGCTCCAGGCTGTGGTCACTTCCCACGGTGATGCTTTGCCTGGTACCAGGAATAAATTGAAGAGCTGTCCCAATGCTGTGCCTAAGGCAGAGGCTGTGACAGCTACCGCAGACTGTGCCCAGCCCCAGGTTTTGGTCAGTTCCCAGAGTGAAACCTTGATTGCAGCCAAGAATAAGTCCAGGGGCAATCGCAACGTTGTGCCTAAAGCAGAGACTGCGGCAGCTCCAATAGGCTCTGCCCAGCCCCAGACTGTAACCAGTTCCCAGGGTGAGGCTTTGCCTGGTGCCAAGAATAAGGTTAAAGGTAATCTCAGTGCTACACCTAAAACAGAGACTGTGGTGGGTGTGACAGGTTCTGCTTTTCCCCAGGCTTTGACCAATTCCCAGGGTGACATCTTGACTGGTACTAGGGCTAAGGTCAAGGGCAACCCCAGCACTATGCCTAAGCCAGAGGTTGGGGTGGGTATAACAGACTCTTTCCGGTCCCAGACGGTGGCCAGTTCCCAGGATGAGACCTTGCTTGGTGCCAGGAGTAAAGTCCGGGTTAATTGTAATATACCTAAGGCAGAGGTTGGAGCGGGTACACTGGGCTCTTCCCAGTCCCAAACTGTGGTCAGTTCCCAGGGTGAGATCTTGCTTGGTGCCAGGAATAAGGTCAAGGGTTGTCCCAGTACTATGCCTAAGGCAGAGGCTGAAGCAGGTATAGTGAGCTCTTCTCAGCCCCAGGCTCTGACCAGTTCTCAGAATGAGGCCTTGCTTGGTGCCAGGAATAAGGTCAGAGGCAATTCTAGTGCTGTGCCTAAGGCAGGACCCCAGAAAGGTACAAAAGTCTCTGCTCAACCCCAGGGGATGGTCAGTTCCCCTGAGGCCTTGCTTGGGGTAATGGGCAAGGCTATGTCCAGGTCAGAGGCAGAAGCTACAACAGAAGCTAAGGTCTGTGCTCAGCCTCAGGCTGAGGCTGGGGCCGCGCCCGCTTCAGAGAGTGAGGGGGGGCCAGATGCTCAAGCCTGCAGAAAAACTCAGCCTAACGTTCATGATTATTATTGGAATGGGATTGGTGTTGAGGATTGGATTGCTGCTGAACGGTGGATCAAATTTAGGTTTCAGGCCATGGATGGAGACTGGGAGAATAGTGTGTCATGGGCTGATGATAAGAATGAAACCAGTATTGGGTCTTGGAGTGGGACTGGTGACAAGAGTGGTACTGTTAGTTCTTGGACTGTGGCTTGTGATGAGACCACCATTAAGTCCTGGGCTGGGGCTAGGGCTGAGAATGAGGTTGCTCTTGGGTCCTGGGCAGGAGCTGGGGACCAGGCCAGTGGAGGGCTCTGGGCTGCAAGTCAGGTTAGTGAGGCATCATGGACAGGGGACAAGGTTGGGGGTTCCTGGGTACAGGCTGAGAACAAGGCCGTTGGAGGATCCTGGACTGGGACTGAGAACCAGGTTAGTGGGGCCTCTTGGGTTGTCTCTGGGAACCAGGCCATTGCAGGGCCCTGGGCTGTGGGTCAGGTGAGTGAGGTGCCTTGGCCTGGGGTCCAGGCTGCTGGAGTGTCCTGGGTTGTGGACCAGGCTAGTGGAGGTTCCTGGACTGTGGCCGAAAACCAGGCTAGTGCGGTGTCTTGGGCAGGGGCTGGAAATATAGTTAGTATTGGGTACTGGACTGGGGCTGTGGACCAAGCTAATGCAGGATCTTGGATTGGGGCTGGTAATCAATCTGGCAGTGAGTCCAAGCCTAGATTTGAGGATCAGGCCAGTGAGAAAAGGTCCTGGGCTGGGGCTGACGGTCAGGCCAGTGGAGACTCCAGTTTGGTACCTGAGAATCAGTCCAGTGGAAGGTCTTGGGCTGACACTGCAGACCAAGCCAGTAGAGGGTCAAGGCTTGGGCCTGTAGACCAGTCTAGTGGTGCATCTTGGGCTGGTGCTATGGAACAGGCTGGTGGTGGATCTACATCAGTTTCTGAAGACCAGCCCAGTGGTGCACCCTGGCCTGGCACTAGCAACTTGGCCAGAGGTGGGTCCTGGACTGGGACTGGTGATCAGTCTGGTGGTGGATCCAAGCCTAGTTTTAAGAATCAGGCCACTGATGAAGGATCTTGGGCTGGGGCTTTTGGCCAGGCTGGTGGAGTGTCCAAGTCAGAGCATGAGGATCAGTCCAGTGGAAGATCTTGGGCAGATTCTGGAGATCAAATCAGTGGAAGGTTCTTGGTTGGAGTTGTGGACCAGGCCAATGGAAAGTCCCAGGCTAGTCCTGGGGATCTGGCTGGTGGTGGGGCAAAGCCTGTGTTTGAGGATCAGGCCGGTGGAGGAGGATGCTGGACTAATGCTGCTGGGGACCAGCCTGGTAGAGAATCTAGGCTGGGCCCCAGGGAGCAGTCCAGTGCAGATTCCTGGTCTGGCACTGGAGACCAGGCCAGTGGATGGTTCTGTGCTTATACTGGCAGTCAGATCAGTGGGGCAGGGTCTTGGGGTGGGACTGGTGGTCAGGATGTTGGAGTTTCCAGGCCAGGGCCCATGAACCAGGCTAGTGGTGGGTCCTGGGCTGGCACTGGGAGTCAGATCAGTGGAGTATCCTGGGCTATGCCTGGGGTTCAGGCTGGTGGCTGTTCCAAACCTGGATTTGGGAATCAGGCCATGGCAGCAGGGTTCTGGGCTGGTGCTGGGAACCAAGCTGGTGGAGGGTCCAGACCAGGGTCTGAGGGTCAGTCCAGTGGAGGAGGCTCCTGGCCTGGGACTAGTGTTCATGTTATTGGAGCATCTAGACCAGATTCCGCAGACCAGCCGAGTGGTTCATCTTGGGCTGGCATTGGAAGTCAGGTCAGTGGAGGGTCCTGGGTTGGGCCTGGGGATCAGGCTGTTGGTTGCTCCAAACCTGGATTCGAGAATCAAGTCCGTGGAGGAAGTGCCTGGGCTGGTGCTGGGGACCAGACCAATGGTGTATCCTGGGCTGTGTCTAGGCCTGGGAATGAGACTACTGGAGGGTCTAAGGTGGGTTCTGAGGACCAGGCCAGTGGAAGATTCCTGGTCAGTGCTGAGGTGGAAGCCAATGAAGGATTTTGGTTTGGGCCTGGTAGTGAGGCCTTCATTGGGTCTTGGTGCTGGACTGGGGAGGAGGCTGGTGTTGTGTCCAGGCCTGATGGCAAGGATGAGGCCAGTTCCGAATCCGCATCAGGGCCTAAGGAAGAGACCACTGTTAGCTCTGAGCTGAGTGATGAGAACAAGGCTAGTGCTGGACCCAGGATCAGATCTGAGGAGGTAGCTTATATGGGTTCCTGTGTGAAGGCTGAGTCTGGATCTGAGACTGGAGCTGCAGTTGAGGCTGAAGCTGGAGCTGAGGCTGAGGCTGAGGCTGAGGCTAAAGGTGAGGCTGAGGCTGAGGCTGAGGCTGAGGCTGAGGTTAAACGTGAGGCTGAGCCTGAGCCTGAGGCTAAAGGTGAGGTTAAGGCTGGGGCTGAGACTGAAGCTGGATCTGAGGCTGAGGCTGAGGCTGAGGCTGGGGCTGAGGCTGGGGCTGGGGCTGAGGCTGAGGCTGAGGCTGGGGCTGAGGCTGAGGCTGAGGCTGGGGCTGGGGCTGAGGCTGAGGCTGAGACTGAGGTTGGAGCTGAGGCTGAGGCTGAAGCTGAGACTGGGCCTGAGGTTGGAGCTGAGGCTGAGGCTGGAGCTGGGGCTGGAGCTGGAGCTGGGGCTGAGGTTGGAGCTGAGACTGGGCCTGAGGTTGGAGCTGAGGCTGAGGCTGGAGCTGAGACTGGGCCTGAGGCTGGAGCTGGGGCTGAGGCTGGAGCTGGGGCTGAGGTTGGAGCTGAGACTGGGCCTGAGGCTTTAGCTGAGGCTGAGGATGGAGCTGAGACTGGGGCTGGGGCTGGGGCTGGGGCTGGGGCTGGGGCTGAGACTGAAGCTGGAGCTGAGGCCATAATGGGGTCTTGGCCCTGGGATGGAGAAGTGACCACTAAGGGGTCTGGGCTTCGGGCTAAGGAAAAGGTTGGCATATGGTCTTGGGCTTTGGCGCGGGATGTAGACGAGGATGAGCTAAGTGGCGCGTCCAGCCCTGATATTGAGGAGATCAGCTTAAGGTCCTTGTTTTGGGCTGAGAGTGAAAACAGTCATGAGTGCAGATCCGAGAGTGGAAAAGATATTAATTTTGAGTCTGGGGTTGAGGATGAGGAGAGCATCCAGGATCAGTATGAGGCAAGCATCATGGATCAGTTTGAAGCTACTGATGGAGTTGATATAAGGTCTTGGTTCTGTACTGGTAACGAAAGCAGAAGTGAGGACAAATCGACACCTAAGGCTAACGCTAAGAAGTCAGCAGAGTCAAGAGGGACATATCCATGCATGGTCCCTGGGGCAGGAATGGGCTCGTGGGAGGGAGCCACGATCTGGTCAGAAGTGAAGTTTCCACACCAAAACGAGGCCAGTTTCCCATCTGGGGATGAGTTCAGACAGCAGAACAGGGCTGGGGAGAAAGCTCGACCCTGGTCCTGCCGTTGTAAACATGAAGCTAACATGGATCCCCGAGATCTTGAAAAACTCATTTGCATGATTGAGATGACAGAAGATCCTTCTGTTCATGAAATAGCTAACAATGCTCTATATAACAGTGTGGATTATCCTTATTCTCATGAAGTTGTTCGTAATGTAGGTGGGATCTCAGTTATCGAAAGCTTGCTGAATAATCCCTATCCAAGTGTTAGGCAGAAAGCTTTAAATGCACTGAATAACATCTCAGTGGCTGCTGAAAACCATAGAAAAGTTAAGACATACTTAAACCAGGTATGTGAAGATACTGTCACCTATCCCTTGAACTCAAATGTGCAACTGGCTGGACTAAGATTGATAAGACACCTGACTATAACTAGTGAATATCAGCATATGGTTACAAATTACATTTCAGAATTTCTTCGTTTGTTAACAGTGGGAAGTGGAGAAACTAAAGACCACGTTTTGGGGATGCTTGTGAATTTCTCAAAAAATCCATCTATGACAAAAGACTTGCTCATTGCTAATGCACCAACATCTCTGATTAACATTTTTAGCAAGAAAGAGACAAAGGAGAATATTCTTAATGCTCTCTCACTATTTGAGAATATAAATTACCATTTTAAAAGGAGGGCAAAAGCATTTACCCAGGACAAATTCAGTAAAAATTCCCTTTATTTCCTATTCCAAAGACCAAAAGCCTGTGCTAAGAAACTTCGAGCCTTAGCAGCAGAATGCAGTGACCCAGAGGTGAAAGAAAGGGTTGAGATATTAATAAATAAACTCTGATTAATTGTATGTTCCCAAATAAATGTGAGTAATATTTTGCTTTTGCAGCCTGGACGTGATGCACATTGTAAACTGCATTAGAACATCAAAACCGATGTTATGTATGGTGGTCCATAAATGAACCATTGTGTGAACACCAAATGAATTCAAACTTGTACTCAAAATACATGTCAATTTTTATCTTGTGTGGATTGAGATATTTTTAGTATGCTTCATGAGCAGAAACTGACCTGATTCTTCATAAGCAAGGTAATTTTTGGTCCTTTGTGTGGACTTATGTTTATACATTTTAGATTTTATATTTATGTCATCAATAAAGTTGTGTGTTTAAGCAGAAACAAAAAGACATTGTCCTTGTCCTTGAGTTTACAATGTTTGAAAAGAAAAGATATATGGACACAAAAAGTATGAAATCAGGGGCCTCCAATCATTGCCAGATAATTCCCAAAGGTGCTTCAAGGCAGCAAAACTGCTGCACATAAAGGTGCTCAGAGAAAATTTTACAGAAGAGTGGAGACGTGAAATAAGCCGGGTTTAAAGAATAAGATGCAAAAGGGCAGAGGGCATTCGAAGAGAAAAAGTGATGGAAGAAAGGCAAAGAGGTGGGAATTTTGCTCCAGAGAGAAGTCTGGTCTGCCTGGAGTAGAGAGTATGGAGAGGAGAGGAGGGGGATGCGGGTGGAGTCAGTGTTTGAGGGACGTCCTGTTCTCCTTTTCTTGGAGCACTTCCAGTTGCTGAACTGGGGTGTCTGAATATTACCACTCTCTGGCCCTGGGAGGCAACAAGGCCTTTCATGAGCAGAGGAGTGACGGGATGAAAGGAAAACAGTATGGTTGCTTTGTGTGTAGGATGGGTCTGAGTTGGGGTGGGGACAGGAGTGGGGACTGCAGATGAATCCAGTTAGGAAGTTAACTACCATAGACCTGGCAGGACATGAGAAAGGCATGGAATTTCACTGGTGGCTGGGAGTGGTAGGGACAGGAAGGAAGCAAGCGGTCTATTCCACTACAAGTTTTTATGAAGACGTAAAGAAAGGGTTAATTTTATTTTAGGGTCCTGGGGGCACATGATAGGGACATGTTCTCCTTCTTGGTGAGCTTTAGTGTCTATGTAGTGAATAAGAGTTATGTTTTGAAATAGTAAGAAACGCTAGTGGAAGAAAGCATGAATGTTAGTGCTTGTACGAATTTCTTTTATAAAGTTGGTAGGAGGGAGGCTTTATGGAAGCATAGAGAGTGCTATTGGGATCCACAGAGAAGAAGACCCACTTGTCTCCCATGCCATAGGGTTGGTGAGAGTATGGGAGGAGAACTCTCAAGCTGAAATGAGGAACATACAAAGCATGAGGTCTATTGAGATAGATGCTCCAGTACCCTTTAACATGGGCATGCCCTTTGACCCAGTAATTTCATTTGTAGAGATTTACTTTTAGAACTAAGCAAATAATCGGCTTGTAGAAAACTGTGCATTTTCTCCAATTATTATGAAAGCTGAAAAAGTACAAATGACCCAAGTGGCATTGAAAATGTTGGTGGACATCTATATTAATTTGTATGGAAAAATTCAGTATATAATTTCAAGTTGGAAAACTAGGCTATAAAAGTATATAAAATACTTTTAAAACCTGGGGATATAGCTCAGCAGCACCATGCCTGCCTGGCAAGCATGAGGTTATGAATTTGATCCAGGTACAAAGAAAATACAAAAACTTGTTCTAGAAAAGTATGTATTTAAGTAATTTGTATAACTGGTTCACACTCTGTGAAAGTTAATATTTTTTATAGATATTAGACTGATGGGAAGTTTCAAAACTCATGTACCTTTTTGATATTTACAGAATAGATAGGGAACTCTTACATAACTTGATAAGCAGGCCTGTGGGTAGTACTGGAAGGGCCTACAACAAAAGGATAAGTGGCGATTAACATATTTATGTTTTAAATTTTGGAAAATGTCACTACAAATTTGAAATAGAGCTATAAATGTCTAAAGATTTAAATAGTATGACTAGTATAAAAATATAAGTATTCTCAATTCTAGCATTTGATGGTTACTAACTTTCTACTGTAAAGAAATATATTGCATTGTAATAGATTCTGCCATATGCACTTCTGGTTCCCCTTCAGGAATAAGTAATATATTATTCAGCCAGGACTACTGCCAGTAGATAGCCCTCATCTGTCAGCCCTCTTTGGGAAGTGCCTCAGAAGACAGGTACCTCCTCCAAGGTTGTACCCCTTCCTGGATGTACTTTACAACTCATGACTGATGGACATGGCTTTCTTGTCCCAAATTAAGACAGCTTATTCTCTCCCTCTGTCCAGTCCTGCTTCCTTTTTTTCCCTTCCACAGGTATTGATCCCAAGAGCATTCCCTAATAAAAGTTCTTCATGATGAACTCAGTTTCTGAATCTGTTCCCTGAGAAGCCAATCTACAAGAGTTGGTACAGAAAAACAAACACTGTGATGAAATTTGCACATGGATCACCCACTGGCCAGTTGGCAATGAGGACCCCATTATTGGTGGTAGGTAGTGTAGATAGGTTCTTGGAATGAGGTGGCAAAATTGTTAGAATGTCCACTGGTGGTTTACTGAGATGGTACATTAGTAGTAAGGAATGTGGTGACTGATATCATGTATCATACCTTTGAGAAATATGAAGGAAATATTAAATAAAGGAAGGCCAGGGAATTGAGTGATTATGGCTTACCTTGCTTGATTTCTAAAAAAAAAATGAAAAGGCTAATTAAATTAACCAATAATTAAAAGCTCTGTCTGAAAGTAAGATTTATTCAGTATATAAGGAAGCTTTCATCTTTTCCAGGTAAAGGTAGAGAAATCTGAGGATGAGATCCAGGACTTTATTGAAAACAAGCTTCAAAGACAGTTAAAATTCTAACCAAATCAAGTCTTTTATACCAAGGTCAGGGCCCTGGTTATGAAGGAATGGGACCGTGACACATGAGATGGGGGCCTTTTGAATGTTTCTAAAAATCTTCTGTCTCTAGATTCCCTGGAATACTTGAGTATTCAGAAATGTCACACTTCTCCCCATTAAAGGGTAGCACTTTACTTTGCTTGAAGGTTCACAGCTCTTCCCCTCTGTAAGCTAACATAGATTTCCCTTGAAATCTGCCCCCACTTCCCATACTGACCACTAAGCCTATAACTAGAGGTAATCACAGCACAACCTAGCTGGAAATGTGCTGGATGTAATAAGGAAGGAAAGGGAATGTATATCAACAAGGAGCTGAACAACATAATCTAGCTAGCAGGTACTAGAAGTTGGTGTACTAAGCATTGGACTGCCTTCTGAGTTCTGATTCACTTAATTGTAGAGCTGGAATATAAGAAAATTGAGTACAGGAGAATGAATCAATTTGAGTACACTCTCTCTGGAGCCTGCAAGAGATGATGTAAATTCACTCTAGTAGGATGATCCCTCAAAGTATGGAAAAAAGAATAGCCCACATTAAGTGAGGTATAAATGGCAGACCTGTCATAGCAGATGGTGGAAGAAGAGGTTAAAGACTTAGAAAAGTGATGATAGAATAATTATATTATTAAAGCTAAAAAAATCCTCCAGAGGACTGAACACACTGGTGAGAGGAGCACTAATATCTCTTAAGAAGTTCAAGGGCGGTGCACCTTTGCAGGTTAAGGCTCACGGTAAGAGAGAATATTATGGAAAGAGGATTAATGATAGAAATAGTAAGATGCAGGATGACTGCATTTAACTGTCAGAAGGCAGGTGGGCAATAATAGCATGATGCACTTCAGGGGTGAGAGTGGCAGATAGGAAAGTCTAACCTGTAGAGATCTCCAGAGATGGCTAATAGAATATGATGCTTCTGGTGGGTAGATGGTAAAAAATGAACAGGACATGGATATTCAATATAACACAGTGTCCTGGGGAAAGTAGGTAGTAACAGTTTGCACTCAATTTGTACAACCCAAAGAAATTAAAGATGTTTGGGAGGCTAGGGAAGTTGCCTCAAAAAATCACAATCTCTCACCGAGATTGTGGTACTAAATTAGTTTTTTATCTAGAGCACATGATTTGAAGGAGAGGCTGGGTACCCAGGAAGAAAAACCCAACCATACAGGTTTTTCTGGTTCTTCCATTGACTCAGGAAACTGTACATCAAGGTGACAGGAATGTCTGAACATTTTGAGACCAGGTGAACACTGGTTATGAGTTGATACTGATATGTAGAGAGAAAAAGTTCATCATAGCTCCCAGATTTAATGGGTTGATATAAGAGCTAGATGTTAAGTTAGATCCCAGCCTAGGTCTGGTTCATAATGGGTTCACTGGGTCCACAGACCCACTCTGGTTATTTTCCTGATCTCTGAATGAATACGTGGAATAGAAATAATTTGTTCTTGGTGCAAACCCCATTGTAGTTTGTTGGCTTGTGGAGTCCGAGCTATTTATAGATAAAAATGCCAGGTGAATGCTTCTGAAACTGTAATCCCCATCTATCACCATGAGAGTACATGAAAGCATCCTTGAGAGGGAGGATGGCAGAGATTAGCCTAACCTTTTAAAATCTAGAGAATGTAAGGGTGTGGTCTCCATTATATTTTCATTTAACTAGCCAGACTTCCTCTCTGCAAAGTGTAGGTAGAACCTGGTGGATAATAGTAGGCTATTTCAAACTCAACCAATTAGTAGGAAAATTGCAGTGACCCATGCCAGATATAGTATTTTTGTTAGAACAGATTAACATGGCCTCAAGAACCTACTACTCAGCTATTGTGAAAAATGTTTGCTTTCCTCTCTTTATCAGGATGAAAAAGTTCTAAGTCACATAGACTAGACAACAGTGTGCAGTTAGCTTTCCTTCAAGGCTCTACTAATTCTCCTATCTTCTGCCATAATATAGTCTCAAGATGTCTGGACCATATAAACATCTTTCAGCAGGAGAAGCACATCGGGTGAGTTGGTAAGGCACATGCACTACAGAGGATGGGAGATAAAAATTACAAAGATCCAGGTGCTGACTACAAAAAGTATAATTTTTAAGGGTTGAATATCCTGAAGAATGCTGGAGATTCCTTTCAAAGTAAAGGACAGGGCTGGGGACAGAAAAGGACAGGACTTTGTGGTAGATCACATAAGTTTAGCAAACGTGAGGCCATGGGTGTGATCTACAGCACCACCAGGGTGAGAAGAGAAAAAAAAAAGAATAAAAGATAAATTGGAACAGTTTTATCTTCTTCATGAAAAAGTAATTTCAGTGCCTGGTAGCCTTCTTCTGGTTCTGGAAGCAGTGCATCTCACACCCGGAGTTACTGTTTTGACCTATATACTGGCTGATGAAAACAAACAAACAAACGAACA